CCAGCCAGAGCGAAGGCCTGGGTCCCGGGTGCCGGAGGAAAACCGGTGCCGGCAGCCAGGGGGAGGGAAGGCCTATTGCACGAATCTTTTCATGCAACAGGCCTCTAGTCAATCAATAAAAGTGATTAAATAAGCATTAGTGACTGGTTATCTCAGCAGGTTATAAGAACAGAGCAAGATAATGTACTTGAAAAGTTTTTTTAAAAACTGCAAAGGTATATGGAGATTTAAGTAACAGAGCTTCGACAAAATCTGTTTTCATTCTTGGTCATTTAATCTCTCTCTGGGCCTCACTCTACTTGTAAAAAAAGGATGTAGCTGATTAATTCCAAAGTTCATTCCAGCTCAAAGATTAATATCTTTTTTATCTCTCAGTCTGAGGGAGGCATATACGTCTCATCTAATACTAATGCCAGGGGCCCTAATTGCTACATTTCTGATTTAAGTAGCCTGCTGCAGAGCTCAGGGAATTAATATATTTAAAAGTTTACCCAAATTATTCTAAGATTACAACTAAAGTTGAGAAACACTAAACTAAAGTAACATATATTAGGATATGTTTTTAAGAGTGAAACCTCTATAACCTTTCTAAAATATAATTATTATTTCTAAAATATAATTAAAAATTATCAAGGATGACTAGAATCAAAAAATAAACCTGTTTACAAAATTTCACCATACCACAATGGGGCTCACCAGTTCCAAGTTTAAAGGTCCAAATAAAACAAAAAATTACTTTTATAAAGTGGTTAGTAAATATATACAATTTGTTACTTAAGAAGTCATGCGTGGTTAAGATAGACGCATTCTGAAATGTTTACAGAAAATTCAAAATAGAAGACACAGAGTGAGTTATTAAGTAAATCAAGTACATGTGAAGTATATTATCAATGTTTGGGGGTGGAGGGGTTTAAGAGGATGAGCCAGCAGACCTGGCCTGGGAAAGGAGTCCTATTATCAAAATTTTGAGGCTGATTCCTATTTGAATGTCCCTTAGTGCCACTATCAGACCCAGAATATGAAACTGCATGGTTCCAGAATGGCACTTATACGTTCTCGCCTTAGAAGAGTTCATAACTGAAGATTGTGCTTTTCTGTGAGAACAAGGAGATATACAACTTTAACATCATGCACTTGATGCTACTTATTTATTCGGCACTTACTTTGTGTTATGTACCAGGCCTCTGCTAGATATCTTAAAATATCTCGTTTAATTCTCACAAGGTAGCCCTAGCTGGTTTGGCTCATTGGATAGAGTGTTGGCCTGTGGACCAAAGGGTCCCGGGTTCCATTCAAATCAAGGGCAATATGTCTGTTGTAGGCTCCTCCCCAACCCAGCCCCTGGTCCGGAGTGTGCAGGAGGCAACCAATCGATGTGTTTCTCTCACATCAATATTTTTCTCTGCCTTTCTCCCCATCTTCCACTCCCCTTTGTCTCAAATCTCACATCCTGTCCTCTATCACATCTTGCTGATTCTACCTTCAAAAATGTATTCAAAATCCATTATATTTTGAACATGTTTAAAATTATATAATCCCAGATCTCATTACTGCCACTTTAGTTCATCTCTAGCCCGGATTATTCAAAGGGCCTCCTAACTAGATTCTGGTTCTTCTATCCTCATCACCCCTCCAAGTCTATTCTGAATCCTTGGCAAAGGGTTCTGTTTAAAGATGCTGTCACTCTTTTGTTCAAAACATTTCAATAGTTACCCACCTTGTTGAGGTAAAATCTAAAGTCTTACCATGGGCAAGACTCAATACTTCTGACATCATTTCTTCTAGTCTCCTCCTGTACTCCACCCACACTTGCCTCATTATTCCTCAAACATTCCAAACGTGTTCCTTCCCTCTTCTGTTCCCTCTGTCTGGAATACTCTCCTTAGAATTCACCTTTTCAGGTCTCTGTTCAAAAGGCACCTTATCAGTAAAGGCTTTCTTCCCCATTCCATCCTCCCAAGCACTCCATATCCCACTTACACACTTTATCACAGCTCTTATTACCATCTAATGTTCTCAGGATGCATTTATTTAATACAGTCTGTCTTCCCGCACAATTTAAGTTTCATGTGGGTAGGATCTGTTTTCATCATTGTTGTTTCTCAGTGCCTAGAACAGGACCTGGCAGGAAGTAGGCACTTGAAAAACATCTATTGAATGAAAATATGAATCATCAATGCCAAAATTTAAATTCATAAACACTCTAGTACCAGCAACCATATAACTAACGATAGCTTGACCTTTTTCTCAGTTCTAGCATTTCCAAGTAAACAGCACAGCCTCCCCAACTACACACACACAACTAAGGCAATAACTTTTATTTTTTTTATTTACATGTTTGTTTTCCCATAAGTCAGTAATTTTCGAAACTGAGCCTTAGGTTCTCATTACCTCATAAAGTTCTTTTTTCCTGCTATTCACTCCACTCACTGCTAAGCTCTTCTGTGCTATACTGAGAAAATTTAAATCCCTCAAGTGATAAACACTAATTTTTCTGCATTCTGATTGTTCTATCACTCCAACCAGACTGCAAGTTTCTTTGAGGTAATCAATCTGGTTCAATCTGTCTCACCCAGAAAATTGTTTCAAATGTTAGGTATCCCATTTTCAATTCCTTTCACAAATATTAAAGCTCAGTAATAATTTTGACCATTCTTTTCCCATGAATTACCTATTCTCATCTACATGGTGTGGTGAGGGGGGTTACCAAAAGTAAAAGAGAATCATCTATTAACTAAAATGGGCAAGGGGGAACAAAATGACAATACATTTTTGGTACAATGTGGTTAGTCCCTTACTCTCAAGATCTGAAGGAGGGAGGAAGTGATGACGGCAGGCCAGGTAGATAGGTGGGAGCTTGGATTGCCTTTCACAATTCTGCCCTGGCAATTTGAAAGAGCAGGATTAACAGGTTCCTGAAGAGACACATTAGAGTTCATCTTAAAGGTATTTTTGTTGACTTTGGTGTTAAGGACTTGAGAAAAGATTTAAAAATTAAAAGGAAGACATCAAGTAATCCAAATTTCATCATCACTCAGTTCTTACTTCCTATTGTTTTTCTAGGAAAATTCCAATGGCAATAGAAAAATAAAGGGATATGCTCAAATTTAATGATTTGGCAAATGGGGGGGGGAATCATTTGGCAAATTGAGGGGATGGGGAACATCTGTAATACTGTTAATAATAAAAATAAATGATTTTCAATATCTGTTTGGAAAATATGACTTTTTTTACGTTTCTCTGTGGATGCTTAATTTAATTTGAGAACAAACCAAAAGGTACTGTAAAAATGCCGTGCCCTTAATATAATGAGCACCAATGGGAAACCTACCTTAAGTTTAATATTTCCCATTAATAACCCAGGAAGTTGTGTGTGCATATAAAACTGAAGAGTGGCTACAGTTACAGGTAAAATTAAAAAGTTTAAACACAGTGAGGTGAGGGGAGACACAGGGAGTGAAGTGGGTTGAAAATTCCCAAAGTTCCGCAAGTAGTAAGAATTGTTTTCTTGTTTTTTACCCAATTAGTGTGACTTATCTTACATTCCCTAAACTAGAAAAAATATTAAAATTTAAGTGGTTACATATAAGAATCATCCTCCACAACAGTACAACATGAAAGTTAAAGCCTGCCTTTAACACTTCCTTGAAGTCTGAAATCCACAAGCTCATTTATGGAATTCACTGTTAATCAAGGTGAATTACCAGTAAATTTGAGTGGAGCATCTAAGTCTGCTGTTTACTATACAGACATGGTCAGACGCATTAAAAGAAAAATTAAAAATATCAAAAGCAACATAACAGTCAGAATGAAAAAGCCACCAAAGAATATAAACATAGAGACTCAGAAGGAATCTGAGAAACGATGGGTCACTTCCTCACTTCATTCAACTCCTCTGAGGCCTTCCCTAACCACTCCATCTAAAATAGCTGCCCCTATCACATTCTATTCCTGTACCCTGAGTTATTCTTCTCAGAGCAGTTGCCTCTATGGGTCAGTATATTATAGAGATGCATTGACTCACTGCCTCCCACCTAAAACGTAAGCTCTATGAGGGTAGAGGCTGCGTCAGTTTTGTCAATCCCAGGACCTAGAGGCACACCGCTGGCACTCAATAAAGGTGCCAAATAAATATAAGTGATGAAACTGAAGTTCAGAGAGGTTAAAGGATTCCCTAAAGGTCACAGAGCTAGCAGCAAGCCCAGCCCCTACTGTAACCGTCTGCTTGCTCTTCTCATTCCACTTGCACCACACCAAAGAAGGCTGTCCCAGCACAGACCCTGTTAAACAGACTTCTCCTTTTCTGTTTCTTTCTTTAAGGATCAAAGAAAATACATGTTACCAAAAAAAGAGTGACACACTGGGTAGCATTTTAACTTCAAGTGTCTCAAACCAACCAAAACTACACTCCAATTTCATAAACATGCAGGATCAGCCAGGAAAGCATAGCTCTTTAAGTTCCTTGTGAAATTGGTGTCTGGCTTGGAAGTTTTCAAGAAGAGCCACTTAACCGACTCAGAATGGCCTGCAAAGTCTCAGCCTCACTTTCATTCTCCTAAGAGGCCACAACTGCTCCCCCCTGGATAGACTCTATTTTGCAGATGATGCCGGAAATGTAACCAACCTTAAAGCCCCTTTCAGTCCCTTTGAGAGTCAAAGTCGATCCCACAAAACACTGAACACAACATTAATCCTCGGGGAAGTTTTAGATTCTGAGAACAGGAAACCATCTCTCAACTACCATCTGACTGCGATCCTCTCTACTAGTGGGTCCTTCCTTCACAATCCGTGAATCTGAAATACCTAAAAGCAACGCGGGAGGGGGTGAGGGAGTGGGAGGAAGAGAAGACACATTTACATATGTAAGGAGCGGGCTGCATATGCCTAGTAACACTTTCTCCCCCAACACCAGCTTCTCGCCGACAGTCCAGGCCGCACAGGTTCAACTTCTGTCGTCTCCTCCGCTCACCTTCCTCTCGGAGGAGCCTATCGCCCATCCCTACCGCGGGGACGTCTCTAGACCAAGGACAGAGGATGATTTGCCCGACGTCTTCCAAACTACTGCTGGCCCCATTAGTACACGAAAGGGAAGCCCTGCAACGTGCGACGGCCGGAGCGTGGAAAGGAGACAGAGTTCAGAGAAGGAAGGAGCAAACGCAGAGGAGCGGGAGGGTAAACAACGCATCAGGGCGGGAGTGGGAACCCGGGTCAAGGAAGTGGGGTCAGCCAGAGGCAAAGGTGAAGGGGGGAAGGGGACGG